GGGGGGGGGGGGGGGTGTATATTCATATATTCATGTTCATATACTGTAAAAACAATCGCTTTCAAATTAAATCCGTCAGGCAGAACACGAATATATGAATATGCACCCCCCCAATTATTGGTCTAGCTACGGCCCTGTATATCAATTACATGTATATCAATTATACAGGCCCACAGGGTGAAATGAATAAAAATACAATTGTAAAATGGTCAATAAACTGAAAAATCCACAATTTCTGTAGAATTCAGGTGAATATAGGTATTTCAGGTCTTCTAATATTTCTAGCATTTAAACTAATATGAAAATTTAACTTTTGATTGCAGGTGGGTTGGCTCAAGTTTGGAAAGTGTTTTATGAACTAGCACATTACGGAGTATCAGACAATTTGATGTACATTGAAGTCCGCCACATGACCTCAAAAACTTGGTTGTGATTTAATTAAACCTTCCATTTTTGTATGCAAGCCACTTTTAATGTGGTTTTTAACAACAGCCTTCCTGAACTAAGAAGTTCAATTTTCAGTTTTAGGTAAATCGGAAGACCCTATTTTTCAGAAATGTTGCGGATTTTTCAGTTTAATGGCCATTTACAATTGTGTACTTTTTGTGATACAAGGCTGTGGTTTCTTCCACATTTTCTTCAGATTAATTAGCTAGAACAAATTAATTGAAGTACATATTAACATTAAATCTTGCCTGACCATGAAACACTTTATTTTGTTTAGCTTTCAAACATTTGCGTGGAATGTTATGCATTTGTTCGTGCAAGTGACGGAGGGGGATTTTCTAAGAGGCAATATTTTTTTTTGTATACCTATAGAAGAAATTTTTTTTTCTCACTTGATGACTGGAAATTTTTTTTAAGTGAATTTTATAGGCTTATCATTCAAGCAAGGAATTTTTTTTTGCACCATGTCTGGGAAGATTTTTTTTCCTAATTGTTTCCGCAAAATAATCTGTGCTTCTGACGTATAAACTCGAACGGTGCCAGCGAGGTAGTACCATTGGTCTTCACATGGGACTCATGTCCTGTTGACCGTCCAAACCTTCAGTCATTGTTATAATTTTTTGTATGATTGTAAAGTTAATAAATAAGAAACCTGTGGATTGCGAGGGATTTAACTATCTGAAAACTACACTTAATTAATACTTCGACATTTCGAGTCAAGGCCCTTCATCATATCGATCCTTCGTTGTTTGTAGGACCAAACGTCTGCCTAAATCCTATTGTTTATTAAGGCCCATCCGAAGTCATGAAGTGGTAAACCTGATGCAACATCTTCAGCTGACACAATGATATTCCTGATCTGAGAAATGAATAATTATTGAAAGCCCCAAGGGAATTAGCAGGTGCCGCGCTTGACCCATTTTACTGGGGAGGGGGGGGGGGTGTAAGTAAAATTTTGCAGAGTCAATTCGCCATTCCCCTTATTACGTTTTCGTAGCGCTTTGCATTGTGGTTGTAGTGGTATCACTGATAGTGATAGCGGCCTCGAATGAAACTATTGATTGTTTTCGCGAATATTTTGCCGTTGGCTATCGCGCACCTGACCCTAGCTTTTTTTAAAGTTAATTCTTGCTTTATAAAAACTTTATGCTTGCAAAATAGGCGAATTCACCTTCACCTTACCCTAATTTTTTTTCAAATTTTAGGTATAATTGTCACTTTTCATAAGTTCACTAAAATATTTTAGTTTTTTTCCTCCCTATCCAATTCGTGTTTTTCCAACTGGGTCTGGGAAGACGATTTGCCAACTCGGATAAAATAATTTGCCGACTACCTGACGACTGCGGTGTGTTCTACTCCCTCCCTCCCCCCCCCACGCACACCCCTCTAGCGCCGCCCCTGGGTAGCTATAGACATTGTGTTAGCGCTTTTTACAACGGCAAACCAGAGATTTTCACGTCTCTTGTATAACGCAAATATTTAAAGCCGCGACAAGTGGTACTACAAATTTGCCCAGCAGAAATGTTTTTAAAAATAAATCCTTTATTTTTACCTCGTCAAGCTGTCTCTCGTCGTCGCGTTGCCGGTACATGCGTAAGGCCTCTACTCTAATGTTCAAACTGAGACCGAACATGGACCGACATGTTGAACTCATATTTGAACGTGTATTACGTTACTTACGGCTTACATGCTATTCAGAGTGTATACGTGCTATACCGCTACATATACAGAGTACGTGAATGTGCGACAAAAAACTTGAACTTCCAGAAAAACGATGTATGGCATGATCCATCATCCGTGCAAAAGATATTTACCAAGCACGCACAACAAATCTATTTTGATCAATAAACTAACAAAATAATCAGTGCACGCGTGCTTCTTCATTGTGAATGGGGAGGAATTGATAGAAATTAGAAAGGGAGCTCAATTTATACAGTCGCATCTCTCCTTAACGACACTCAATTATATGTACATGCAGTTTCCGTGCCCATTTCTATTGCGCGTTAGGCTGATGTTTCGCTGTATTAAGCCTGGTTTAGTTATACTATCAAAGTTTCTGTGACAGTAGGAATTTTGCATAGCCATAGGTAAATTCTAAGTCATGTTTGAAGGATTTGTAAGAAATGGTCGAGGAAACTGACTTACTGTTAGGCCCGGTTTAGACGCCGTGCTTCTCATGAGCCGAACTTAATGTTAATTAACTAAGTTCTTTGTTTAAGCTCATTTGCATTAAGTTCGGCTCATGAAAAGCACGGCGTCTAAACCGGGCCTTAGTGTTAAACACTACTGTGTCCTCGACTGTGTCCGTCCCTCAAACAATTCCTACAAATCCTTCAAAACTTACAGTTTACTTATGCAAAATTCCAGCTGTGATCACAGAAACTTTGATAGTGTAAACCAACCTTTAAACTTGTGTTTTCTCTTCGGACTTCATTGTGGTTGAATGCGCACGTGTTTTATGAGGGAATTTTTAGATAATTCGACATTTATATATGCTGATTTTGGGGATGAAGCGGATAATTGTGACTCCATGGTTCATTATTTATCTTAAATAATCCAAATCATTCATTTGTTATATAGTTTTTTAATTAATCATCCGCATGGATTACATATATATATTAGTATATTATAGGTAAATATGACTATTCTATAACTGAGTACAGTTAGAACTAAATGCGTATGAATGCAGTAATTAAAGTCGCCGAATGCAGTAAATGAGTGCAATAAAGCAAACGAAGAAAAACTGATATCGAACCAAATGATTTTATGTTTCGTACTTTTCATATGTGCTTTGACTATAGTATAATTGATAAGTACTTACAAATATGAATATACTTGTAAGTGCTTATCAATTTAACAATTTATTATTTAAACATGGATTTTCGAACTAATCATCCTTATACAACCAAACCTCATCAACGACTTTTTCCTCACTATTCACGAAGTATTCAAAATGCAAAGCCGAGCGATTGGCGAGCGTTACACGACCGTATCCGTACGGGTCAATATGGCGTTGAAATTTGGACCAACCAGGAGGTAGAAAAGGTGGCCAATCAGCTTTCTTTCCCGCCGTACCAATGACGATATGTACAATTCCATCATCAGTACAAGCATTTTTATAGACTGCGCATGTTCGTTCGTAACTGTGGTAATGTGCCCACAAAGCTAGGTCAACTTTGTAATGATACAGTAGATCTTCAAATAAGAACTGAAATGCCAGCGCCACAACGAAATTATCTATATAAGCAAACAGTAAATTAATATCCTTAAAGCTGGGTTACAGTCCATTCTGCGCATGTCTCAAATGTGTACACATTTTGTAAACATTGTCATAGAAAAATATTACGTAATACTATAAACTGATAGCATTTCAGAAAAGATGGCTGACGCACAGGAGTGCCAAAATTCTAATTGTTTTTAACTCGCTTATATATTCACATCAAAGCAAGAAATACGGTCAAAAAAGAAACTTTATATCTAAAAAGATGTTTCTAAAGTGTGTTTTTACGAATATTAGTTATTCCGTTGTGCAATTGTTTCAAAATCAAATAGAAACTAATATGTATGAAGCCGCTTGTCAGTTGTTATCTTGCTCGGTGAAACTAAACGTGAAAGTATTTTGTGGTGCTGGATTGGCAATCCAATATGAATTCCCTCCAGTCATTGGATAAGTAAGCTCTTGTTACAAATGGAAATGCATATCAAATATCAATTTCAACACGCTAGCACGGTTGACAATGGCCGACTCGCGACCATCTACTTGAGAGTTTCAAAGGCAAATCCTTCTAATGCATAATATTTGCTGGTCGCCAGAACCAACCAGGAAATCGAAAAGAATATTTCGCGAAAAGGTATGCATCGAAATTGTAGTATTGATCGGTGGAATCATTTCAAAACTGAAGCTGGAATCAAAAGTGTCAAGTGACGAGGGTTCGGCGGTTCGCGAAACTCA